CCCTGTTCACCGCATTTACCTTTCCTCCTGTCCACCTCCTCTCGGACTCCGACAACCTTCACTTGAACATCCACACAGTCTCTTTGGTGACTTTCTTGGGTAGCCCAAGGTTTACAATATGGTTGTAGCCACAATCAAGTACGTTCTGCTATTCTCTTTATTCCTTTTGCCCACTCCCCACGATTCTCGTCCTCCCACTCTTTCATTCCCCTCCCACCATCCCCCCCGTTTCTCTTCCTCCCGCAGCCTCTGCCCCCTTTCTTAGGTGTACTGGTCTTTTGGCCACTCTCTTTCTTGAGCGACTTGCTAATCTGTGTCTTCTCTATCTTGCAGGTGTGTTGTCGTCGGTGACGGTGCGGTTGGAAAGACTTGCCTGTTAATTTCGTACACAACGAACAAGTTCCCTTCGGAATATGTTCCCACCGTCTTCGACAATTATGCTGTCACGGTCATGTAAGTCGTTGCACTCTGCCCCCATGCACGGCAAGCACCCTGAAACGCCTTTGGGTGAAATGCGCTACATCATGCCTTCGATCGCGTCATTGTCGCCCTCCCTTCCTGACTTCGGATCCAAGATGATCACATTGGCGACTCTTCCGCAATAGATAGCTGACTCGATGACTATCATTCTTGCGCATTAGGATTGGCGATGAGCCATACACCTTGGGTCTCTTTGATACCGCCGGTCAGGAGGATTATGATCGCCTCCGTCCTCTTTCCTACCCCCAAACCGATGTCTTTCTCGTCTGCTTCTCCGTCACTTCCCCCGCCTCCTTCGAGAACGTCCGCGAAAAATGGTTCCCCGAAGTCCACCACCACTGCCCTGGTGTTCCTTGCCTAATTGTCGGCACGCAAACCGATTTGCGCGACGATCCCGCTGTTCGGGAAAAGCTTTCTCGTCAAAAGATGCAGCCCATTCGCAAGGAAGACGGAGATCGGATGGCCAAAGAACTGGGCGCTGTGAAATACGTGGAGTGCTCCGCCTTGACGCAGTACAAGCTCAAGGACGTCTTTGATGAGGTTCGTTCTGCCAGCACCCGTGATTTCGCATGTAGAGGAAGCTGACAGATGGGTTTGAAGGCCATCGTCGCCGCCCTGGAGCCTGCTCCCAAGAAGTCTAAGAAGTGTGTGGTATTGTAAAACAATCACATCTCTTACATCGCAGGCTGGTACGCGCCAGAGGATTGCACACTTGTCGTCGGGGCATCACAGACATGTCGTATGATTTTGGAGGAACGGATTGTTTTATTTCACAATACGGAGTTTTGGGAATATCACCCGGAGGAGGGGCTGGCTTACTCGACCACCGTCTAACCTGAGACTTTGATTTGTTTTTGTCTCCGATCATTGAGTGAATATCATCCATGCAGCCCGCAGCCCTGACACCCGAGAGCAAGACCCGCCGTGACTCGGTTGCACCGGGGAAAACTGCTGAGGGCTCTCCCAAGCAAGAACAGGGTCACCAACATATACTCTACCATATCGCCCATCAGCTCGTCTTCCGATTGATGCCGTGTACAACTGGCCCCCGATTTGAACCCCTCCGACCTCTTCCCACTATCTTTGCTCATCTCTCCGTGCTCATTCGATTGCCCTTCCACTGTCTACTTATCTCCCTCCCGCCTTCTCCGGTCCTTTTCCTCTTCTCTTTTCCCTTCTACTTCCTTTCTAAACTCTCATCGTCTTTATCGGCGTTGGAAGTCGAGGCGTCTTCTTTTGGCTGGCTGATGGTTCGATCTGTGCTCTTTTTCTTCTTTTCACATCCCTCAATATGTTATCATGCCTATCACAATTTGCTGTGCAATTTTCACCCAAATCATTCGTGCGAGGCCTGGATTAGATAACACAGATACAATAGTGATGACCGAAGTTTCATTTCAGATTCTACCATTCGAGATTGTGTTGCGTGTAGAGAAGAGTTGGGAAGATATGGGCCCGACCATTGACAAGGGCATGCTTTTGCTGGGATGTACCTGCATCAAACTGCTAAACGACCTCACTGACTCATTACACACATAGCATCATCAACACATGTATCGCATTTCACAGCTCGTCCTTGACCTCCTTCTCAACCGCGACGTCCTCAACCTCAACCTCGACCTCAATTTCGCCCTCGGGCGTTGCTTTGCGTCCGTACCACCCACCCAAATCCTCACCTGCACCAGCCTTGACCATGCTGGTGATGATCTCAAAAGCAACCTGAGCTGCTGCCAGAGCCGTGGTCTCACCCTTGTTGTCGTAACTAGGCGACACCTCGACAATATCCGCACCAACGATGTTCAATTTCTCGATGCCACGCAGGATGCGGATGAACTCTCGGGTCGTCCAGCCACCAGGTTCGGGGGTACCGGTACCTGGGGCGGTCGCCGGGTCCAGAACATCGATGTCAACAGACAAGTAAACTGGTTGTTCTGGATCCAGACCGATGCGCTCGATAATCCGATCCACGATACCCATGGGGCCCAGCTCATCAATATCATCTGCGTGGATCCGCATGAATCCCTGCTCAGGGCCAGGGTTGGTGTAATCACTATCGTCGACGCCCGTCAGCCGTGTGCGCAGTCCCGCATGTGCGGAGGTCGCATTGCAGATGAGGCCCTCACGGCTGGCCTTGTGGAAGAAGCTGCCGTGGTTGAAGTGCGACTGCTCCGAGAGCCAGTAGGCCGAGTACCGCACGGGGTTCCAGGTATCGAGATGTGCGTCGAAGTGAAGCACTGTGATGGGCTTCTGGTAGATCTGATACAAGGCGCGCAGGGCAGGAAGGGCAACGCTGTGGTCGCCTCCCAGGGTGACGAGCTTCGACTTTCCGGCCGAAATCCCCTTGGTGCCGTACGTGGAGGAAGCGCGGGTCACGGCCGGCCGGGAGCCCAGCTCCAGGAAGGCTTCGTACATTTGCCGCTCGGCCAACCCATTGTCGAAGGGGGTGATTGGAATATCGCCACAGTCCTTGACCGTTGCCCACGATTGGTACGGGTTGATTCCCGCGCGGGTGTTGTAGCTGGTACCGGCCATCTGGCGGGCGCTGGCCGCACGGATGGAGCGAGGACCGAAACGGGCACCTGTTGTTTTTGAGGAAGGCGTTTAGGCAATTGAGCGCGGGGAAGATAGGGCGATGTAGATGGCTGTTGGAGCTTACCTGGTCTGTAGCTGACTGCTGTGTCGAAGGGGGCGCCGATAACGGCGATGTCGTATCGCTCGTCCGGTTCGACCAGACACTTAACAGGCTTCATGTGGGCGAAGCTGGCAATGCCGGAGAAGGTAAACTTTACAAATTATCGAACGTTATTGAGGTGTTTAAAAAAAAGAAGGGGGGGGACTCGTGATTAGCCCACCTCCTGATCCCATTTCTTCAGCAATTCCTCGCGCAATCGCTCGGGGATCGTTTCGTCATGGTCGTGATGAGCGTGGGAGAGAGCGGTGCCGGCCAAAGCCAGACAGGCTGCCCAGGTGAGGGATCGCATCACGCAATTGGCAATTCTGCTTCTTTCTTGGGAACTGTGGACAGTGAGCAGTGGGAATAGACTTGAAAGAAAGAAGCTTCGATGCAACAGACTTAGGGGGCGGTGTCTTTTATAGGACTTTAAAGCACTGAGAATTGATCTTCCCCTCGTTCTTCGATGACCTCGTCCAGGCTCCGCCGAAGACCCTCATATACCGGGGAGAGGAAGTGGACGGGCTTATCGATAGGGGATGCGCTGCTGATTGGCTGTGTTGAGGAACCCGAGAGGTAAATTGACGGCCTTGTGGCCTGGTTTCTCTGACGTCGTGAGAACCTTCCCTTTCGGGTTGCTCTTCGGCATTTCCACAAGATCATCATTCCAGCGATTATTATTCAATTGCATTTTCTCATCCACTCCTTCTCCTCCACATTCTTGGCTTTGTTCTTACTATGGACTACAGTGTATGAGTGCATCAATGAATGTGTACTGTCTCGGTGAGCCCACTTTGAGTCCTCAATAATTGGTTGCATCTTCCTACCCGCCATACCGGGCAGGTCTGGTGGCTCTAGATTTAGCTCCGAAATAACCTACCGCGGAGCTTTGCTCGGTCTTCTCTGCCTTGCCGAGAACCTTGTCGAAATTCAGTACATACATCCAGACCGGCAGACCTGCAGACCGGAAGATAAACAAGCAGGCGCAAATCTTTCTAAATAGAATCCCATGCGTCGAGTCGTTGTAACAGGGTTGGGAGCAGTCACACCTTTGGGGGTAGGTAAGTCCATTCTCGATTCAAAATCAATCCGCCCGCGTCTTCTCCGCGGTGTCCTCAGTCCCTCCAACAGTCTCCACTCCTGGCACGCCCAAAAGGGAAGGTCAAGTACAACTTCAACTGCTTGCCCAGGAGGGTAGTTGGACACGAAAGCGGGACCCGATCCTTCCTTTAGCTTTTTCCCGTTTGCTAAGCTGAGGCGCAGGCATCCGTCGAACATGGAAACGCCTGATAGACGGTCATTGCGGCATCGTCAATGTCGTGCATCGCGATGCTAGGTTCAAGGATGTGCCCTGTCAGGTCGCTGCCGTTGTGCCGCAAGGGGCTCGAAGCGACGGCGGATGGACGACTTCGGAGTGGTTAAGCAGAGACGTGAGTATTGCTCTGGCCATTGCCATTGCATAGTCCCCAACTGATTGTCCGTGGCAGGATGAGCGCAAGATGGCTCGATTTGCGCAGTACGCAATGGCTGCTTCGGAAGAGGCGTTGGAAGATGCCGGCTGGATGCCCACGACTTTTGAACAGAAAGAAGCAACGGTGCATACCCGAAGTCGAGTTTTCCACTGGTGCTTTATTTCTTTACTAAGGGTATCATGTCTAGGGGGTATGTCTCGGGTCGGGTATTGGTAACTTTGACGAGATTTACGACACCGTTGTGGCGTATGAAAAGGGTGTGAGTGTCCCTTGTTGAGCATCAAGGATAAAAATCAGCTAAGTCTGTGCCAGGGTTATCGCAAAGTGTCGCCGCTGTTTGTACCCAAGTTGTTGATCAACCTCGGTGCTGGTCACATTTCTATGAGATATGGGCTCATGGTTGGCAGACAAACCCCCCTTCCAATACCCTATTATCACTAACTTGGCATCTAGGGGCCGAACCACGCAGCGACTACAGCATGCACCACAGGCGCACACTCCATCGGCGATGCAGCCCGCTTCATTGCGTGCGGTGATGCTGATGTGATGCTCGCCGGCGGAGCGGAGTCTTGTATCCATCCTTTGGCGGTTGGCGGTTTCGCTAGGGCCCGCAGTCTGGCTACCAGCTACAATGACAACCCGCAGAAGGCTTCTCGACCATTTGATGCGGATCGAGAGGGCTTTGTAGTAGGAGAAGGGGCTGCAGTGATGGTCCTAGAGGTAAAGCCAGCCTTCTTGGAAGCGGATTATCTTTACGCCAAGTGCTAACCCTACTGCCAGGAGCTCGAGCATGCGAAGGCACGAGGAGCTCGTATCTATGCGGAGCTAAAAGGATACGGCTGTTCTGGGGACGCGCACCATATGACTGCACCCAAGGAGAATGGAGAAGGCGCATTTTTGGCCATGAAAAAAGCGCTCAAGAACGCAGGGCTTCCGCCCTCCGCTGTCGACTACATCAACGCCCACGCCACTTCAACAGTTGTGGGCGATGCGGCGGAGAACAGTGCCATTAAAGCTCTGATTCTCGGTCCAGGCGGAAAGCAGAAAGCTACAGAGGTCAATATCAGCAGCACCAAGGGTGCTGTCGGCCACCTTCTTGGTGGTGCTGGCGCCATTGAGGCCGCCTTTGTCGTTCTCGCAGTCAATGAGGTAGGCGTGTTCTTCTTGGACTCGAACAAGCTTTGTCCTGGAAATACTAACAGTGCAATTCAGAATGTCATGCCGCCAACAATCAATCTGGAGCGGCTAGCAGATGGATTCGATTGCAATTATGCGCCGGGCGAGGCGCAAGACCGCCGTATCGACGTGGCTTTGACGAACAGCTTTGGATTTGGAGGGACCAACAGCAGTTTGTGTTTCTCGAAGCTCATCAACTAGGTGAGGTGTCTCATCATATTGCTGTGTGGTATAGCATGTACAGTAGTTTAGCGTGGACATGTCATACTTCATCAGCTGCAGAGGATACCCTGTCCGCCTTCTTTCATCGAGATATGATGCTTCGATACCTGCCACAGTCAGGTTATGAAAGTGTATTTTATATATGATGACTTAATTCCAAGGATTGTTCAGAGGATATTGTGGTCTGTGTCACAAGCCTAATGCCCTTGATCTATGCCTGGTGTTTGAGACTGGTCAATAGTCCGGCTCTTCTTTCTCAAGATATGATCAAGATACAAGAGAAAAGCTCAATAAGCTTCAAACAGATAGACACATATTCTACAACCTTGAATCTATTGTACAAGTACACCTTGATCTTGCGATTTTCACCTAGTCAAAGAAGCAGGGATTCCTTCACCAGTCCGCGCACGTGACCCAACCCCATGCGGGAAACCCCCCTCTCTCTCCCCGGCCCCGGACGTAGCCTCGACCATCGCATCGCAAGCCACGCTACTATTACTACAGCTGCTGCTGCTGTTTCAACGCTACGCCGTCGTGCTGGGTAGTCGCAACATCCCGATCCTAACACCATCCCTCCTCTCGACCAGTCGATCAGCATTCCCACCGAATTTTCCTCTCCTTAGACACGATCTACCTGCTTCATCTCCTCCAAAAACCCACCCTTCCGTTCTTTACATGACAGCGTCCCGCCCGTCGTCACCCTCTCTCTCTCTCTCTACGCTCCGAAACCCACACTGTGGACATAACATCAAACCTCCCAATCTTGCAAAGAAGGGCCACGGTAGTAGGGAAACGAAATATCACCAGCCGTGGTCGTGATCGTGATCGTGATCGTGGCTTCTTGGGTTTATATCACATTTACTATCTGAATCAGCCCTGCCCCCGGGGCTCGTTGTGTCGGGTTTACAAATCATGGCGACTTCCAATAACGGTGTGTTTCGCGTTTCGCGTTTCTTCTCGTCGCTATGTTTCTGTCTGTGTGTCTGCGAGGTCGTAATGGAGGGAGAGGAAACAATACCTCGGGACGGAGGCTATTGAGGGCGGATCTACTGGAGAAGAATTTCGGGCTAATTCGTGACTCACCATCGTACGCTGCAGCCCCCTCAGTCGCATCATCATCATCATCATCAACAACAACTGCTGGCAGTCTCGTTGATGCGTCCGGGTATAAATTCTCCGAGAAGGATGTGAAGCCGGGGAAGATCAAGTTGAAGAAGTCGGCGAAGTTGGGGGGTAGGAAGAAGGCCGATGGTATGTTGTTTTGTTTTTCTTTACTCAGCTCTCGTCTTCTCCCCCCGTGCTGTTCTTGTCTCTGTTTGGGAAGGGTGCGCTCAGGACACCTGGGGCGGAGGGCGGAGGGTGGGTGGAGATATTGCTTGGATGGGTTGAAGGAGGCAGAAAGAAGACGTTTGGGTTTATTACTAGAAGAAGGGAAGGATGCTAATGAAACCTCTTCCACGCGATGCAGAACCCCCCGCCTCCCCCGGCTCATCCCCGATTCTTCCGGAGATCGACGAAAAGACTATGGCCGCCTTCCCGACGGGCAAACCGCGAGAAGAAGATCATCTGGAGACGGTCATCTGTAAGACCTGCAAGAGGCCGGTCCTCAAGCAGAACGCCGTGGAACACATCCGCGGCTGTATTCGAGCGAAGCAGGAGAAGGCGCGCCAGCGGAAGGAGGCGCGCGATGCGGCCAATCGGGCCAAGGCCGGCGATAAGGATGATACCGAGGAGGTGGGCGTGGGCGGCGCCGGCGCCGGACCCGGCGGGGAGAAAGGGGACGGTGGAGAGGATTCGTCGATGAAGGGGCAGAAGGGCGCCAAGAAGAGCGCCGTCAAGGGGATGGCGGCGGAGATCGGGGCGAAGAAGGGCACGAAGCGGAAGACGGAGGCCGGGGATGGCGACGACAAGGATAGCAAGGAGCAGCCCAAGACGAAGAAGAAAAAGAAGGAAGAGCCCAAACCGAAGACCGCTAAACCGAAGGGCCCCGTGGATGTCGAGAAACAGTGCGGTGTTACTCTGCCCAATGGGGCCCAGTGTGCGCGCTCTTTGACTTGTAAGAGCCATTCGATGGGTGCGAAGAGAGCGGTCCCTGGACGTTCCTTGCCATACGACATGTTGCTGCAGGCGTATCAGAAGAAAAATCAGGCGAGGCAGCAGAGTAAGTTTCTCTTTCTTCTCTCGTGTCAGGATAGTGGAAACCGGGGGTCTAATGGACTTTTGACAGAGGCTGCTATCGACGCCAACGCCCCGCTGCAGGACGAGCAAGATAATAACGGTCCGGTCGACTCGGATGAAGAAAAGGATGCCGTGATGGCGGCGATTACGCGCTCACATCCACAGCCCCTTGTCAGTCACACCTTGATCTCGACCAAAAAGAAGTACCAGTATGTGCGCATCAAAGAGATGCTGTCCCATGCCCTGGGCGGCTCGCGCGGCGGTGGCCTCTTCTCGACCGGCGACCATACCTCATCTGCGCCTTCTCTCTTCTCCCATGGGAATCTATTCACCCCGGTGGACGAAGTCAACATGGCTTTACCGGTCTCTGCAACCGTGCCGGATAATGCGACAGATGCTGATGCGAAAACCCCGGCGGCACCTGCACCCAAGAAACTTTCCGTGGCAGCAAGCTCGTGAGCTTCTGGTCCGGGCAGGTGCGTGGGCGAATGGTTTATGAACTCAGTACTTTTTTTCCCTGTTGGATGGGTTCTTCAGGTCGCTGCCCATTGGTTTATCAAGGGGGTTACAAACGGCGATGGGTCAGCGGTTGGAGGCATGGACGGGTGGGTGACGGCGTTCTAAGGATGATTCAACTTTGCTGCGCTCTTTTGACTTCTGTGATGATATGATACCCCGTGTTGAGTGTGCTTGGATGCATGCATGCATTGTTGCGTTGCGTTGCGTTGCGTTGCGTTGCTTGGTGTACAGTTGTGTCCAAAATGGGTTGACGTGTGATTTGATAGAGATTCTAATGCAACTTCACATCAGATATTGTCAGTTAGTACTACTTCTTAGACCTTGTCAATATGACGAAAGCTTCTTCGATCTTTGATGAGTTGTGCGTGTTGTTTACCTGAAGGCTACTAAGAATCTATACTGGTGGGATGTCAACGACTGCCTCAGGCCACCACCGCGATCTCCGCCGAACGACGACAAAAGCCCGCCCACCGAATTGAGCTCAATGCGCCTGCCCTTTCTTTCACCTCACACTCCTTTCTTTTAACACCGCGCAAAGCTCGGCGCGGCTTTGCAGGCGAGGCCTCGGTCCGACCTCAATTCCTTTACACCTCTTAACATACTTTCAGCACTCTACAGACAGTCCAAAAGAACCCCATCGCCCCGCCCACCTCAACTCCGATCCGTCCATTGTCGAGTCCACCTCACCCGATTAAATCCCGATCCCGCCTCGCCCTTTCCTACGTACCAACCTACCTACGCACCCACCACCCCGCCCTTCTCTGCCTCCAGCTGCAAGATGGGAAACTCGGTTCCCGACCTCGACGCGGTCGGCGTGAAAGCCGAACCGGAGCTGGCCGACATGCTCCGGCGCGAGGTCGCTAGTCTTCTGGGGCGCAACAACCTGAACTTTCCCGGAGCGCAGCCGGTCAGTTTCGCGACGCGACATCTCACCGAACTCCAGCGGGAGGACTACTACGTCTGCGAGAAGACGGACGGCATCCGATGCCTGATGTACTTTGCGCACGGGGAACCGGACTCGGACACGCCGGAGGTGCACTACTTGATCGACCGCAAGAACGACTACCGGTGGGTGCCTGGGCTGCACTTCCCGCTGCCCGGCGATGATACCTTCCGGCAGTTCCACGTGAATACGATCGTGGACGGCGAGCTCGTGAACGACACCTACGAGGACGGGACGCAGCAGCTGAAATTCCTGGTCTTTGACTGCCTGGTGCTGGACGGGCAGCCGCTGATGCACCGCACGCTCGACAAGCGGCTGGCCTACTTCAAGGAGAAGGTGCTGCGGCCGTACAACGCCATGTACCGCAAGTTCCCGGAGGAGATCCCGCACCGCACGTTCACGGTGGAGGACAAGTCGACGCAGTTCAGCTACGGGATCGAGATGATGTTCCGCGAGATCATCCCCAAGGTCAAGAAGATCCACGGCAACGACGGGCTGATCTTCACGTGTCGGAGCACCCCGTACAAGATCGGCACCGACGAGCACATCCTGAAGTGGAAGCCGCCGGCGGAGAACACCATCGATTTCCGCATGAGGCTGGAGTTCCCGCTGCTCGAGCCGGACACCGACGACGAGGCCGAGGGGGTCCTGGAGCCGTACGCGGACTACGAGGCGATGCCCATCTTCCATCTTTTCGTGCTGCTGCGCGCCAACGAGTACCAGCCCTTCGGGGAGATGTTCGTCACGCCGGACGAGTGGGAGGCGATGAAGGCGCTGGGCCAGCCGCTGGATGATACGATCGTCGAATGCGCCAAGGATGACCAGGGCCGGTGGCGGTTCCATCGGCTGCGGGATGATAAGTCGGACGCGAACCACATCTCGACGGTGGAGAAGGTCCTGGAGAGTATCCAGGACCGGGTCACGGAGGAGGACCTCATCCGCATGGCGCCCGCAATCAAGACGGCGTGGAAGAAGCGGCAGGCGTTGCAGGAGGAGGAAGCGCGCAAACGACACCGACAAGCTCCTGGGGGCGGTGGACCCCCGAACGGCCACAACGGGGTCAAGAGGAAATTCGAGGAGTGATGGTCATTCTTGTGTTGTTCTTTTCATCTATGATTCTGACTCTCCCGCGGTCGATGAGCTTCTTACTACTCATGACCCTGACGGGGAAGGTTGGCTGGCCGGTTGATTTTGGTTTGCGAGGCGTTAGGTGCTGGCGGGTGGTGTGTGTGTGTATGTTGTTGCATGCGTGCTGCTCAATTCCTTCGGGGTTCCATTTCTCAAGGCCCGAAATGCTTTCTTACTAACTTATGTTGTGTTTCTTTTTTTCATTTCAGTGTTCTTCTGTGTATACAAGAACAGCAGCCGGCCTCAAATGTCGCATGTTGCACCCAGGGATAAAGCAAGCGAATGGATGGGAATTGTATCGACTCACCCATCTCCCCTTCATCCTCATCCCGTGGGCGACCAGTGTATAGAGTAATGGAATGAGATACATTTACAAAGGAAGGGTGAAAACCGTCCAACCTCGAAGAAACAAGACCCCCAAAAAAGAAAGCCGCGCGTTTGTTTCATTCCACAAACGAAACAATTTCATGCCATCCGTCTGGTAGTCTTTGCACGTCGACATACCACTCGCTGGATTCTGGCCGGAAATCCTTTCCTTTCTACAGAACAAATTGGGGGAGGGAGAGGGGAAAGGAACTGGTAAGTTCTTTAGGTTGGGAACCCCCTCTGTCGATCTTGGTTGGAAATGTCTTTCCCTGGTGCGTGCGTGTGTGTGTGTGTGTGTATGTGGGGGGACCAGACATGCTCTGCACTCCGTATAGTTCTATGCATTTTTTGCATGTAGTTGTAGTTGTAGTTGCCAGGACGGGTTTTATGAATCTGTTTATGTAGGTGCAGAGGTGTTCTGGCCGGGTTACCGATTCCGGTAATCAAGTGTGTAGGATCTAGTCTAGAACCATCCCTTTCATTCAGGTTCAGGTTTACCGCGTCCTGTTTTGCCCCGTGCAGGGTCTTTGTGTCTGTTTGATTTTTATTCTTATTTTTTTATTTAGTTCGGTGGGTGGTTGGGTGGGTGGAAGGTTGATCTGGGGAGAGGATGGGAGATGGGGATGGGGATGGGGATGGGGATACGGTACCAGCTAAGGTAGGTAGGCAAGATCGACGACGGAATTGTACAGTACGATTAAGTAGAGTCCGACCTCTCTCCCTCTTTTCCCCTTGCTATGCTGCGGTATGACATCAGTGGATATGGATCATGCATATGTACTGTACATGTACATGTACTGCATGCATACAGTATGCGGGATGGTGAAAGCTGGAGGTGAAGGAGGAGGAGGAGGTGGTGGTGGTGTTGCGAATGGGTGGATGTATGATGGGATGATGCTTGAAGATGGAGCGGGAGGAGATAACTAGAGTGTATAAGTGACATCAATGGCACTAATTGAAGGATGGCTATTCAACATTCAATAGATTAGTTTTTCTCTTGTGGTTGAGGGCTTGCTTTCGGGGGCAGGGCGATGAAGGCCAAAAAGAAGAAAAAGAGGGTCTGACGAGAGCATGTGCTGCTGCTGCTGCTGCTGCTGCTGCTGCTGCTGAAGCTGTTGATCATGACTGCATGGGATGATCTGCTTTGCTTGTTTTGGTTTTTTCGTTGTTTTTGTTTGTGTACAGTACGGAGTACTGTCTTCAGAATGATGGGGGACGGATGGAATGTGGGGGACGGATGGGACTTGTGGATCTTGCTTGGTTGAGAACTAGTTGTCTCTATGTTTGATGGATTCTACAGGGTGCAGTGCACTACAGTCCTGTACAGTACTGTACATGGTAGCATTGGGTGAGAAGGAAGGAAGGGATTCTGGAATGAATCATGGATGACTCTGAACTACTGGAAAGGGACAATGCAGTTGCAGTTGCAGTTGCAGTCATTTCTGGGGTATGTTTACCGAGGGCTCAGTCTAACTTACCACGCCATACGGGGATTAAGGGGAAAGGGAGGGAGGGAGGATCGGCTTCGGTGGCGTGGCGTGAGAGGAGAAAATAGAAATCAGATACTCGTACGGAGTACTCACTAGGAAGATGAAACCGGGGGCTGTTGCCACTCATTGAGCACTGTTACTGTTGACTTCACAGATTCCTGGGGGAGTCTTTCTTTGTTACTGAGTATCTTTCTAGAAGGATGGGGGGATGCATGTTGCTGAAGTGTATGTACATGCTGTCCACATACTCCGTGAGTGGACTCGTCAGTCAACATATCTTTCCTCCAGGTCAATTCCATACTCTGTCCAGCGTCTGGCATCCATCATACCCTGAGATACTCGAATAGTAGTCCCCTTGTTTCGCTTTCCCCACAAAATGCACACGTACGTTTCTCCATCCCATCCCATCCCTTCCCATCCGCCCTGGCTGAATCCTTACCCCATCGGGTTTTCTCCATCCCTTGGCGACCCGGTTTTTTTCTTTACTTCTTTAATTCCTTTGCTCTTCTCCTCCCCCGGAAGAAGCCCAGCTCTTCCCCGGAAGTTCTCCCGCCCTGCCCTGTCCTGTCCTGTCCTGTCCTGTCCTGTCCTGTCCTGTCCTGTCTTGCCGTCCCGTCGTCGTGGCAAGCATGCAGGCTCCATCAACCCACCCTTTGGACCGAGTCGCTGGGTGAGGCGGCCCCAGCCCTGAACCTAGTTGGGATTCTCGAGTCGAGGACCAGGCCCAGGAGTAATAAATAGTACAAAGGATCGAGCATGAGAAACGATCCACTGTCCGTGTAAAGTCCACTTGTTCGACTAATTCGCATTGGAATTCCATCTGTCGGTTTTGAAAACCCTCGGGCTACTTCCCATCCCCAACAGATTCACCCCTACGCTAGATATTCCTTCTTCAACCAACGAATAGCTGTGCTTCCTTGTATACTGTTGACTGTACACTGCTGGCATCGAGTGGCTTGTTCGCCCTGCATTCTGTCGGCCCTCCTTACCCTTCTTTCATTGGGTCATTGTTCTCTGTCAATGAGGATTTAAAAAGCATCTCCCCGTACCTGTTCAATCCAATACGTTCCGCTTGACCAGACACTGCTCGGAGCACTACTTACTACAACTACTATTCTTACTGTTACTGTTACTATCTTAATTCCACTTCTGATCCACTAAACGAGGTAAGCAATTTACTGACTTTCCATTGACACAACTGCGCCCCGGGAATCCATTTTGCCTCGGCGAATTTCGGAGCTCCAGCATGTATACCCCCGGAGCTTCCCTCTCGGCCCTACGGGTCCTCGTCTGCCGAATTGTCACGACGAGCTGCATATCACTTATATTTACCTTGGCCCACGTCTTTGTAGATACAGTTCTTGCTAACTCTTCAATTGCAGTGCTATCAATCTTCCAACCTCCGCCTCCACACCAAAACCCCAAGAATCACACATCTACACCCCGAACTACAACCGCCGTCACAACCATAGCAACAACACAACCACCGACGAAAAGCATAACAAACGGCAAAATGGCCAACACGTCCCCGCAACGTCATCGCCCTACTCTCATCACCCCCTCCTGTTCCTCCACATTCCCGCAGGACATCTCCGCCGCCATCCTCTCCGCCGCCAACCACATCCCCAAGTCCATCGCCGTCGAGTCCGCAGCCCGCACGGCCAACGCGGCCGGGTCACCAACCCCAACGACGAGTACAGGGCTCCTGGAGGTGCCCATGCCGCCGCCTCCACCCCCTCCGTCGCCGGTCGAGACGAGAGCGCTCTGGGGCCGGTGATTCTTAAACTAGAAGCAGCGGTCAATAGCTGTGTCTTCCCTCTCGCTCTATTGCAAGAACTCGGTCCAAGCTGGGTGCTGAACCTTCTACTTGGACCCAGCTACACTATCTATGGGAGGTAGTTTACATTCCAGACTACAGACCGTGCAGGTTCCCTTGGTGTCTTTTTTTTTTTTTTTTTTGTGCTTAACATTGGGTTGCGTGTTGGCTTTCGGTTGATTTCCTGGTGTCGGTGGGTCAAAAATTCCTTGCCTCTTTTCATCGCTTTCGGAGTGGTTTTGCTACTGGTCGTGGGGGGTTCTTTTTTTCGTCTTCAGTATGGAGTGGGGGTTGTCTTTGCTATCTTTGAAACCTGGTTCGTTTCTGTTGGCTTATCTTCAACGGGGATGGAGATGGGGTGTATATTATGGAGATGGTGGGGGCGGTGATAGCTTTGGATAGTAATCATGTCAATGGAATGAGAGATTGATTGACCAAACCAAGTTTGATGCAGCGGACTCGAGTCAGAGTACTACTGCAGTGCTTTGGATCGATTGACCTTTGGGGAAGTAGATCAGTGCCCGATACATCTACTCTGTATGTTGTTGTCTTATGTTTTGAGGGGGCGAGAGACACCAAATCATCTTGGATATTCGATGATATGGGATGAGATCACATTTCGTCATTTGTTAGGCCGAATAAATCATTTCCCTAATCCATCCCTCTCAAAGCAAACGTGCATGCCATCCAAGCATGAGGATCAACCCTGATGGTGAACGCGTCGCAGATCCCCGGACTCCCGGTCACATGCAGAGTGGGAAAGGCGCATACACATCTATATTATACGTTGTGAGTACCTGCAGCCAGAGACCCTATGACGCCATGGTTCATCATGGTCGACATGGAAGAAGACCGACCTCAGTACAGTACATCCGTACATGGTATCGTGATGGGAGCTCCAGTGTCTAGCTTCTACGCGGTTGCGGTAGTTCTCGTCTGCTGCAGGGCGCTAGCTACCTTAGTTGGAACTTAGTAGGGTAGCGCGCATGCATAATCATCGGGCCCATCTCGGATTCCGATTCGGGTACCGCCAACTCTCTTATTCATACTCTTTTCTGTTCGGCGTTCAGGATTAGTGCTGGCGAGCCTCGGTAGGGCCAAGTGAGCCCGCCGGGCAGTGCGGTGGAAATAGTACTCGTGACTATTAAAGCTTGTTTCCCCCCTCAAAGATGGACCTCGGCTGGGAGCCTCGGATCATGGGCCTCTCACGTGACCCATCTGAAGAGGATCAACCGTCCTGAACAGAGGATGCTGTACAGTCAATCCAAGAGCATGGATCAAGGCTGCGACTGCTGGGTATCTCGACGAGCCTGCGAGAGTAACTCTTCCGGGTCAAGGTACTGGTCGTGACTTGGATCCCGCGTGGGATCCTCACCCGCAACCTCCGGCTCTCCCTCCACGTCTCCCATCTCAATATCATGATCATTGCCGTTATCGTCATCATCGCCCTCATCGTCGTCGTCGTCGTCGTCATCGCTCCCCACCTCCCTCTCAACATCCTCACCCAGCCGGGTGTACAGCGCCTCCAGCTCCGCCATCGCAGCCGCATCACCCTGCAACGCCAGCTCATTCAAGCGCTGGATTTCCGCGAGCTGTTCGTCGGTGCGCGCCCAGCCGAGCGCCCGCCCGCCCAGCGACGATGCATGGTCCGACTGAATCCGTTTCGTGCTGAAGACGGTCCGCACCGTGTCCGTCTCCCCCTTGCTCCGCTTCAGACTGGCCAAACGTTCGAGGAACCGCATTTGGTTGCTTGCAGGGTGGTTGGGGGCACGGATGATCCCGGTCGTTGATACGGTGGGCGCGAGGCCGGCGGGAGAATTGTCAGATTGTCCAGGGCTAGGGTTTACCCCTTCATCTGATCCCGGTGTTGCTGCTGTTGTTGTTGTTGCTGCTGCCGCTGAGGATTGGCTAGCGGAGATGAGATTGGCTTTGCGGCCTATAATCTTAACGCTGGGGGCGGCGAGGAGGTCGTAGTTGTGTCCGTGACGGAGAGGGGTATCGGGGTGATCTGTGCGGTGGATACCGTACGGGCCGTGGGGTGCAGTCTCCCCTGGTTGTTCCTCTACTCCTCCTCTTCTGCCTTCGTCTGGACGAGCAAAGATCAGGTCCGTGCCGAGTTGGTCGGCCCAGGTGCCGCTGAAGATTTGGTTCTGGTACGAGATTATGGGATTGGGGGTATGAAGCCCAAGGATCTGTAGGTCGTCGGATGGGGACTCGACATGAGTGAACCCAGCGGCATCGGCCTCGTCGGAGATGTTGGTGGCTGTTGCTGATGAGGCGGCAGTCGCGGAAGGTTGTCGACGGCGAGGCGGTCGGAGTGGGCCGTGAAGAGAAGTGAGGTCAAGGGTGAGGTAGACGGTCTAGATGGGGAATAAGAGATTAGAAGCTGAATAAAAAGAAGAAAGAGCCGAAGGAGGAGGAGGAGGGAGGGAGGGAAAAAACAAGGCAGGGAGGGAGATGCCAAGGCGGACCTCAGTTTCGGTGGGATGATATTCATATTCATAGTCGGAGTCGATGTCGGAATCGGGATGGGGCTGGTCCACTAACATGGCCGGATCGACCGGGATGGGCGGAGGAAGCGACATGGTGTGGTTGTTCTACCCTCAAGAATCGTGAGTTGATGAGTTGATGAGTTGATGAGTCTATCCATCAACCATCATCCATCAACATGAATCGAATAAGTTTAAGACCGGCATATCAAGGCGGTGAGCCCGCAATTGATCAATCGGCCATCGTGGGCGGCTGCCCGATTGGGGTAAAGATCTATGGTACTTACAGTAAGAGTAGTAACTAAGTTATAGACGGTGTAGTCATCCTCCTCCTTCTCCTCCTCCTCACCTACTACTACCGTACACTCGACCTCGTTCGTTAGCATCATTCATCGGCATCTCTCACCGCATGATCCAGCTGATCATCCACTCTAAAGTCAACTCCCAGTGACGGACTTCCTTCAAGTCTAACTGGTTTCAGCCTTAACTCATCGATTGACGAATGACTGCTGCATTGCATCATTCATTCCCTTGGCTCTGCTTTGGGCCTTAGGCTTGTTTCTGTCGTCTCTCTTGCTCTTGCTCTTGCTCTCACTCTTTGACTTATCGCTCCATCATCCCCACTCCATCATATCATTGTTGATCATCATGGCTTTCTATCATCACCATCACCATCGTCATCAAGACAGCCGCAGTAGCAGTAAGTGAAATCCCGTTCCGTTCAGGTGTCTACACTGTTTGTTTTCTCTCTCTATGCATTGTCACCGGCTCACCGCGGAACGCGGGCATTCCTCTCTCCACCTGCATCCGTCCGTCTCCAGTTCCAATCCACTTCTCCCCTCCCCCCTCTATTATGATCTAATCATTTGTCCCTCTTTCCCATCCTTCCATTCGTCCCGAGTCACCGATGCCCTGTTGTCCTCAGCCCTAAACCATCCCATATATGGCGATCCTCTTCATATCCGGATGTCCCCGGATGCGCCGCCCTGGCTCTGCCCTACCCGGCAAGCTCCATGACCAACGAAAGAGCCCTGACTCCATTCCTCAATTGCTGTTCTCGACCTACGGACCTGGTCCGGCTGACGGATCATGGCCGCGTTTCGCTCGGCTTCTTATAGTGTCTCCCCTGCTGCCCTGGCGCCCAGCTCGGGGTCTGGTTACTCGGTCTGATTACTGCTTTTCTTCCTCTACCCTCCTCTGCTTATTATTATTACTCTCCTCGTCGTTGCTCTGTGCCTCCTCCCCTCTCAGGACTCATGATCTTTCGTCCCCTGTCGACCCTCTCGATGCGTTCGCATTGATCGCTGAGCCCGATCCATCCTCGACCACGTCTGCTACTTTCTCGAACGGGCAACTGGTCACGCACCCTTCGTCGACCACAGCCCACCGTGATTCCGAGAACCAAGTTTGCGATCAAGACAAGGTCAGGTCGGTAGCCTTATCGGCCCAATCGCATTCGCAACCCGCCGATCCAGCCGTCTCTGCGAGTGTCGGTCAACAGATGGTGCGCGCAACGACCGCAGCGATTCTCACTCTATCCTCACTGATTGCCTATGTCGTGATTAACAGTGTCGCTCGCGCTGTTAATCCGTCGGCCTTCATTTGGTACGAGGAGGATCAGGACGAACGTCGCTGGATTTCGTCATCTCCATCCTGGCTAGACCGGAAAGCTTGCCGCTGGTTCGGCCTATGTGGGACCGCCCACTTTCGCTTGGTGCGCCCCCGCTTCGGCCACCGCAAGGCCGTCGCGGCGGCTGGCCAAGGGTCCAATGAAGACTTCTCCGCCTGGCGTGCCGCCCAATTCAATGACTCCGCCCATCCCGAGGCCGCTTGGGATGAGGCGGAACGCTCCCGCCGCGAAATCCCGGACTATGTCTTTCAGTATGCGCCGTTGGTTCATTTGTTCTCCGATGAGCAATTCTGGCCCTGCGACATCGCCGAACACCTGTACCATATCACGCCGATGCTCAATTACACCCCCGTCCAATCGTACTGGAATCATCCCACTTTACATGACCTGGATCAATTGAACCAGTGGCAGGATGGGCACAATGTGTTTCTCACCAGCAACGATAATGTCGAGCATCGACCTTCGTGGATGGAAGGCGACAAGAACATCCCTGACGATCCTGATAGTGATTTGGAAAAGTCTTGGCCTGACTGGGATGCGCGGGTCGATGGGCCCATTCCGAATGACACACCTGGCGACCGAGCGCAGTGGTACGATTCAGCCCATGCCCTCCGCGAAGGGGATAACTTGGATGGAGGCGACAACGATGCTGAGTGGTCGCCTGAGAAACTCGGCTACTTGCGCCCAGAGGATCTACAACAAGATGAAGGTTTGCGGGACGAGTTGCGCAAACGTTTTGGTGGTGAGCCCATCCATGTTGAGACTACGGGCGGGCGCAGCAATGCGCCAGCCATCCTGCTGGTGATGGACAAAGGCAACGGCATTGTGGATGCCTTCTGGTTCTTCTTCTACAGCTTCAACCTTGGCAATGTGGTGTTGAACGTACGATTCGGCAACCATGTTGGGGACTGGGAACACTGTCTTGTGCGCTTCCATAATGGCCGGCCCAAGGCCCTCTTCTTCAGCGCACACTCAGCGGGAGAAGCATACAGCTACGAAGCCGTCGAGAAGATCGGCCAGCGGGTAAGTCATGACCCATCGGCACTGCTCCATGCGGCCCCGGTTCGCTAGTCTCTCCCACTAACCGTGAATCAGCCCGTCATATATTCCGCACTTGGCACCCACGCTATGTATGCTACTCCTGGTGTGCACGCCTACATCCTGCCTTGGGGCTTGCTGCACGATCAAACCAATCGCGGTCCATTGTGGGACCCGCTCTTGAACGTGCACACATACACGTATGACTTCCCCAACGACATGCTCCGGGCCTCAACTGTCAGCCCCTCGGCGCCTATTGAGTGGTTCTACTTCAATGGGCATTGGGGCGACAAGTTCTACCCGTTGGGCGATGAGCGCCAGTACCGATTTGCGGGTCAGTATCATTATGTGAACGGGCCTCTAGGCCCGCGCTTCAAGCACCTGAATCGGCGCAAGGTCTGTCAGCAGTCTGACGACAGTCCTTGCGTGATCAAGAATTACATCGGTGAACAGGCTCGCCCTCGCCGCTGGGCAAGTGCAGGTGTCGAAAACCCGGGTGAGCATCCACGTAATTAGAGGTTAATGTCGGATGCCTATTTCTATTGTTCGTTCTTATGATTATTTCTGCTACTGCCATTTTGGTGGGATTATATACCCCTGCATGTTTTTGTCTGCATGATTGCATTGATGACTGGCGTTCTGTTCGAGTCTGGGCTGGAAACCAACGAACCACGAGGCGATGATAGACATGAAAATCACGGAGTACGTACCACTAACCATTTACCTACATGATATACATCGTTGTGTTTGTCCAGGCCGGGGATCATAGGCAGTGGACTCACGGCCTGTTCGTCGTTAATATCTTTTATATGTATCTCGGGTCATTTTATATATATACTGGTGTTACTGGATGGTTCTGGTAATGAAGAGAAACATATTCTGCAACTTTATCTCTCAATCAAGGACATCATGCTAAACACGTCAAACATGCCCAAGTTGAACCATGCCTTGAGGGCTGACCTGATCTCTGAACCTTGGCGATCAGCACAACTGGCAAGTTTGGCGGTTTTTCTGTGACTCTGCTGTTTAGGACTACCTAGTACCAACTTGAGCATCGACAGCCAGTTGGTCAGTCCCCATAGTTTCGGCAGTCCACGAGTTAATGTCCCATGATTCCACCAGGTTAGGGTAGAAAGTAGCAGGAGGGGAGCGGAGGCGGGGCGGCAGGGAATCCAGGAGCCTTTGATTGGGCCCCTGGAGACTATAGAGCAAGGCGCACACCGTGGACACCGCGGCGTCCTCCCTTAGTAGTGGGAGTGAGCATCCCATAGATATTACCTCAGATCATCCAGTCCAAGCATGGGTAGACCTTGGAAACGGGACTTGGACCACCTAGTGCTAGCAACGAAATTACCTCCCTTACTTACCTACCTACCCAACCCGATCATAAAACCACAGACTGTGCCCAAGCATCAGTAGCTTCTATGACCTGGCGGGATGGCAGGCTTTTTTCAGCAGCACCATTCTCTGACAAGAACTTCTGTTTCTGTGTTGCATGCGGCGATCATCGATGGCGGGTGCCAGTGAGGGTGGACGGTTACCGAACGGGGAAGGAGGTATTTAGATTGTCATTCATGGAGCAATGGGTTCAACTGTACCGCAGGGATCCGGCTTCCCTTGCAGAGTCAGCCATACATCATGGCTTGGGAGAATGGTGGGATCTGGGGTCTTTGGGAAGCATCAGAGAGAAAATCCCAGTAGAGATAGTGTCCGGGCTATTGCGAAGGATCAAACATAATCCCAGCCCCGTAAGCTACGGTGTGCTCTATATGTATCATGGAGGTCAAGCAGGGCAACATGAAGATTTTTGTTAGGGAAGATTACTCGCTACAATCATATAAGATGGGGAAATTGCAAGGCAAGCTAAGTATGGGCAGGCAGGGAGGGGTAATACCATGAAGCAAAGGGATGAAAAATGGTGAAAAAAAAAAAAAAAAAAAAAAAAAAAAAAAAAAAAAAAAAAAACTAAACTCATCGCAGGCACTGCGAGGTGGCGAAAAGACGGAAGGGAACGATCAACAACCACCCAGGTTTCGTCCAGCAACACGAAGGGAATAGGTTCTAAGGGATCCCCGGATTAAGATGAAGAGTAGAAACAGCGCTGGGATCACATGAATAGCAGCATGGAAAGCAGCAGGTCGCCTCATATTCGGAGGACGATCCTCCCCATATGGGAATGAGATTTGAACGTTGACCATGGGTCAGGAGATAAAGAAAGAAGCCAGAAGGAACGACTGGACCAGAAAGAACATCATCTAGACAGTCGACTGGCCGTATCGGAACAGCCCAACCCTAAAACAACAACGCCGGATACACACACCACACACACACGCACACACACAAGGTGAAAGAAAAGGCTGAAAGGGTTCTCGAACGATGTAAGCAAGACGGGGTAATGGAAAAGCTGCAAAACACCCAACCAAAGAAC